ACTGGGCCTCAATGCGCCACTGACCAAACATCAGCGGTGTGTTGAGGCCAGTATCCCGAGGCCCATCATGACACGGAGCGTTCGTGCGCATTTCATTTTTTTTTTTCGCGGTGAGATATAGTCGCACCGCCTGTAGTTGCCTTTTTTTCAGTCACGTTTTCAGGAAAGCCATTGATCAAGGCTGGAAATTTTGCTGCTTATCGAACGACTCATCTCACAGTGGGTACAGTCTGGTCCCAGACATAGGAACTTTAATAGAATGTACCAGATGTAGTAGGTGCATTCTCCATCAGCTCTCCTTCCAAAAATTGGGAATCCGGTAGTTGGAACATAGGCTATTTGGAACAAAAAAACATGATCCACAAGCATGGGATGCAATCATAATCCATGAGTTCACATCTCCGGCAATCCAAATGCTTTAGAAAAGCTAACTGTCAGAAATTGAGTCAGACAGGAAAAGGAAAATGAAAAGAAACAAGATTAACCATGAACAAGCCAATAATGCATGCATTCATTATCGAGGAGTCCACATTTCTGGCTAACAAGAAGGTTCAGCAAACCCTCAAGAAAGGGAAAACAGAAAAGACACAAGACATTCATGAATAGTCAAATCCTCTCGCACACAACAGCAACACAGAAAACTGTAATCTCAGCCAAGCGCAAAACTATGATAGATGAGCAAACTTGGAACGAAACTAACCCTCACCGCTCAACAGATAAGAGACAATCATGTCACAGAGGGGCTCCCCGCCGACACTGCTGAGCATGAGCGAAAACTTGAAAGCAAAAGGGGCCAGATGGTATCAGAGGGAAACGCATTAGCTCATACTCACACCACACTCAAACTCTCCAGGATGTATCTGACCACAATCGCGTTGCAACCCTGCAGGATGCATCTGACACCCATCAGGTCCAGACGTCAGTCCGAATAGTCCAAAATTCTCTCCAAATGTGAGTAAGCCCCGAAAACACAGCAAAAAGAACAAAGTCACAATGCAAGACGGTTTCCGAAAAGAGCTCCAATGGAGTTTAGCAAAAAGTGACAAAGTGTGAAGAAGCTCAGGCACAGGCAACGAGCATTCGTTCTTCAAATGGCAATCCAACAACCACACAAACTCGATCAGAGGGATTCAATAACTACATCATTCATCAACTTGAGCAATGAACCATAGGGTTGCACCTTGCACTGTGCACCTACAATGCAAGCAACTTCATGTACAATGCTCAGAAATGGTAGTGGGCTCTGAAACCGTTGGCAGAAGGCCGAGTTACCCTAGTAAGATATTGCCCAAGTTATCCTAGTACGATGCGGCGATGATTTCATTGTCCTTCACAAGGCTCGAACAGTTGCTCAGGACGCTCAAGGGGGTCCTATCATAACGACTCCCAAGTTCCCAACCCATCCTCGTGCTTGCCATAGCTGCTGCTCTCTGACAGCACCATGACGTTCATGCTATGGCATCATCGAAACGCCCATCTGGCAATGCATGTATATAATAGTATAATAATGTACCTGTTTTCCTGCCAGCTGGCCGCCAGCTGTCTGGTCAGCTGCGAGGAGAGCAGGAGTCCCAGGAGCTGTGAGTTTGTGGTGTTGAACGAACAGAGCGACTACAACACGTATAACAGCTGGCCGCCAGCTGTCTGGTCAGCAGCAAGGAGAGCAGAAGTCCCAGGAGCTGTGAGTTTGTGGTGTGGAATGAACACAGCGACTACAACACGTATAATAACATCGCTAAGTCTCATGTACAATCAATTTGCAACAAAATAAGTCCCTGCATAGTGAAGACACAGAAAGAAAGTGTGAGAGTCTCTACCTAGCCACTGTTGGAAACTCCTAGCTTATCCACAATGAATGGGGAAATTGCAACGTTACGAGGGAGAAACTCCCACCTCATCTGCAATGGATGAGAATAAGACAACCTAACAGATGACCCGTCAACTCGTGCAACGCAAAGAAACATAAGTGTCCGTACCCGGAAGTCATCTCTAGTTGAGAATCTCAGATAAATGATCACGCGCAATAAATACTGCAACAACAAAACCTGAGTTATTATGCGAAATGGCCTACCTCGCCAAGGTGATATCCCTCCTAAAATCTTTGCCATCTTGTGTTTGCGACTTGAAGACATCAGAATCGTCCCTTCCTCTCTGCACTGGACTGCACCGACATAATATTATATTATGATAATGCACGCACTAGAGCGCCACGCCCTCTTAAAACTGCCAACTTATCATTCATCATCCTTATCTGTGACCCTATCCTCACCTCTCCCCATGGCCAAACACCACCACCACTACCATCATGCCTCTTTTTCCTGATGCAGATTTCCACCGCTTTGCCAATAACAAAACAAACCAGTGCGGGCCCTTATTTTCCTTTTTTGTTTTTTGCCTGGAGCCGCCAGCCATTCCGATCTGGTAGGCCAAACCCCAAAGGATGCGGCACGTTAACAGCCACGTCGAAACAAAATAGCTGGGAAAGGTTCTGGTGGTTTGAGTGCATCTTCCTCTTTCCGTCATTGTGCAATGTACTGAACATTATTTTGACCCTACTAGCATGATGTCAAGAAGCTCTTACCGTCCTATGGTTGCTTTCGGTCTCTGCGGTTTCATCCCTCCATCTGCCGCAACCATCGTTGACATTGGCAAAAGGCATAACGATCACTTGCTTGGCTTACTCGTCATACAAATAGGGCGGACAGGTCAGCCCTACCTAGTCCCTCCATCAGCATACGCGAGTAGCACACGGCAGGCATGGGTGGAGATGTCACCACTTGTTGCACACTCCGGAGTTCAATTGACAACCTGCCATGAACGCTCCACACCTCTATGGCTTTTCTCTGTCCTCTATGGCCGTAGCTCCTCAAGGTACTTATGGAAAGTGCTCCATTGGTCCGTGACCTGGTTATCGCCGATCCATCCACCCTTGGAGTGCCTGGACTGTGGACGGTCCTTCGCTTTCTGTCCGCACTAAAGCCATTCCCTTGACATAAACCACTTCGCTGTAAGTCACATGTAATGCATCAACAGCCTTTTTAGACTCCTCGACTGTTTGCTTGATCATGCTACCATTGTGTTTGAGCTTGTAGAGATCGCTGATCATGCTAGTCACATGATTGGGGCTGACTTTCCCTGCCTCTTCTACATCCGACTTGATTGCCTCTTCCAGAGTCTTCAGCTGTTGTTCATAGGCCTTTTTTGCCTTCCTCAGGCCCTCAACAATCGTTGAGGCACCGCTGCCCTGTGACTCTTTCACCTTGATTAGGTAGTCGAGGTAGTCCTTGTATGCGTCATTGTATGGGCTGATGGCATTCTCCACGCAGAAATGTGCAAAAGATGCAACAATCCTGTTGATAGTTTGCTGCTCTTCCTCAAGCTCTTTAATACGGAGCCTGAGCTTCTGCACGTGTTCCTTAAGAAGTGCCCTAGCCTCCTCTTTAGTCTTGATCTTCCCATCGACGGTGGTGTCGACAATCTTGTGGGTCGTCTGCTTCGCCTCCGTGAACTGGTGGGCATGGTGCTTCCAGTTGCAACCACAGCTCTTACAATTTCCAGAGACTTTGTGGAAGGTGGAACAAAAGCGCAGCCCTGCCGGGGCCTTCTGGGACACATATTGCCAGAAGGAGTGGGATTGCATCGACCCAAGCCAGCAAGGCTCACAGCAGATGGAGTAGGAGACAAAACTAGGTTTCCCATCTGTCGACTCAATCACATCCACAGGCCGCTGTTGGTCGCCTTTCTGCTTGGCATTTTTCTTGTCGTTCTTAACTGCATTCGGACACTTGGACGAGGCACAGACAGTCCGCGGTGCAGGTAGCTGCACATACGCGATCTTGGTCACCGGGATGTATAGCTCTTTCTGCAACTCTTCAATTTCTTGGGCGCTGGACTCAAATTTATGTCTCTGTTTTTCCAGTTCGCAGAGGTTCACCTGGATGATCTGCATTATGTCACCGATAGGTTGCGAGAGGAGTGCAATCAGTCTCCGGGCCTCGTTGACAGAGATGGTGTCTCTCACCTGATGTGGTTTGCACGACGACACATGTTGCAGCAATCTCTTGCACTCATTCACTGATGTGTCCCAGCTGGCCTTGAAGTTTTGCCTGTCTTCTTCTGAGAACTTGATCCCGTTTCGCAACGCAACCATAAACCGGAACGACTCATTGTCCAGACAGAAGGTCGACTTCTGGTTGAACGGAATGTCCACGTGTGGAGGCTCTACCTTGATCTGGTTGAGCATCCTCTTGAGTGCAGGGAGAGTGTCCCCGGGCCTGTAGAACGTCGAGCGCGCATTCGTGAACACAAAAGTTATGTTCGCACTCGCATTCTTGTGCAGGTGGAACATCAATTGCTGTATGCAGTAACGGAAGAAAACGGACAGGCGGGCATTGTTCGGCTTCAGCAAGATGCAGATCCCGTGAATTTCACGGTGAAATCCGAGAAACGCAAGTATGTTCTCAAAGTTCTTCTTGTCCTGATCCACTCCCCTAGTATCACCGATTCCTGGAGTGTCTATAAGCCGCACAATCTTGTCGGCGAACGGAAACACATATGCCTTGCAGGCCTGTGTTGCAGAGGCACCAACTTCCTCCGATTCGTTGGAATTCTGGTTATCGTTGCCAACATCCACCCCTTTCAAGTTGTGGTACTCTGGCTTAACACTCACAGTCCGTTCTTCGTAGTTCTCATCAATGAGCGTGAAGGAGGTTGGGATCAGGATTATGAGATCATTCTTCTCTGCCTCCGCCAGATGATCATATGTCAGATAATTGGCAAATGCATTAATGAAAGTCGACTTCCCCACACCGCTCTCACCTAGGAGGAGAATGTTGATCTCTTCCAACTTTCCAGCCATTCTCATCACCATACTTGGAAGATTGTCCTTCGCTCGGAATGCTACAAATTCCTTGCCATGCACCTCATCACTGCACTTAAACACAAACTGGTTAACCTCAGCACGACCACACTGACAGTAAAACATGTCATCCCGACCATAAATCAGAGCGCCCTGACAAGCAATGCACTGCCATTGTCGTACATCTGCACTACACGAACCATCCGGTTGGAGTGAACAAGGACACTGGAGCTTTACTGGCACGCTGAAGTGGGGAATGGGACAGCCTGTCTCGTGTCCAACCATGACGGAAACCAGGTTGTGTGAGGCAAACCAGGAGTTTTCCGCGAGCACATCAGCAGATACTCGCCTTCCTCTCATGTAACGTTCGATGACCACAATTGGTATACCAGGAGGAAGGGACTGATATTCCACCATATAGAACACCTGTTGGGCCATCAGCTGCTGCTGCTGCTGCTGCTGTGCGGCCTGCTGCTGCTCCTCCTTCATCAGCCTCTCAAATAGAGCCAAGTTCTTCTGCCATGTTTCTCCTTGGCTTGCCCATTCAGCAGCAGCGAACACCATCAAATAGCACGAGTCCACATTTCGCAGTTCTGCCCTCAGCCTGAGAGTTGCCTGCTCATCTTCTCCGACCCGAACATAGTGAACACCTCGATCCATCATATCTTTGATCCACAACCTCTTTATATCACCTCCATCGATTGCTCGCTCATCCATCACCCCCGTCTCTCCCTCCTTGGATTCCTGGTTCACCTTCTCCTCCACCTTCTCCTCTGCCTTCTCCTCCGCCTTCTCCTCCTCCTCCTCCCCCTTTTCTCCCTGTTTCTCCCCTGCCTTCTCCCCCTTTTGCTCCTCCCTCTGATTCACCTTCTCCTCCTCCTGCTTCTTCTGTCCCTCCAACTTGTTGTGATCCTCCTCCCTCAGTCCTGTAGGCAATGCCCAAGAGTACCGCTGGATGAACGCCTCAACCGTCTCAGGAGCTATATCCCCTTTGGCACGGAGTTCTTCCAATAACGCCTGCAGGAAGCGTGTGTCGACCCTACCTGACCGAACTGCAGCCAGTGTCTTGCTTACTCGGTATTGGATGGCTCTGTCTGCTATATCCATTAGTTTCATGCGATCTTGAACGGCTCCAACAACTTCAGAATCAGACGAGGCAGCCACCTTCTCAGCAAACTTGGCAAAAGCCTGCTTGGCACTCAGCATGGTGTCAAAAAAGGCAGTCAGTTTTTCGACCCACTCGGGCCCCATTTGCATAAAAGATATTGATTGTGGAACACCTGCAGCGCCTAGAACCTGTTGGGCCGTCTCAGCAAGGGGCATGAGCAGGTAGAGGAGTGGTTTGCCATGACCACTTTTGCTGGTCCTGACGAGGTGTTGCACCCTCTTGATAAGCACCTTAGCCTGTCCGAGGCTGCTGTTGCCGCGAGAGGATACGCTATATCCATCCCCATCAAGAGGGAAGACATCGCCATACACCTGCAATGTCAAACGCGGGAGAGTTCCATCACTGTCTGCTTCCTCATAATTGCCCTCCCCACTGATATCATCTCCTCCACTCTCTGAGCTGACTGCTTCGTGTAGCTCCAGCTCCATCTGACCTCGAATCCACGTGTCCATTGCCTTGGCCGCCGCCTCATCACCGACGCCTGAGCCACACTCCACATTTAACACTGACACAAACGTGTTTGCTCCCCACAGGATCCCACTCACAAAATGGGTACCAATGGTAGATTTCAGGACCTCAGGTGACACAAGTTTTCTCACTTTCCTGCTGTACCTTTCCATGTCAATCCATTGTTTGCTTGATCGCAGCTGGTAGATTCCCGTCATCAAGCTAGGTTTCTCTGCCAGCAGGAACTCCGAATACTCAGCAGGCAACCTGGCAAGCCCTGAAAGCACGCTCGCCTGGAGGTCCGGCTCGACACGGAGCTTTTCAAGTCTGCCAGAATAGGATTCCTCACACGAAAGGAACAGTTGTTTCTGCCATGCATTTGCACCCTTGACGAAGCTCCGATTGACACCTGCTTCTCCAAAAAGGTTGCCGTCAACAAAACATTCTTTGCGGACATCGTATAGCGCACCCAGCTCTGCCTCACGGCCAAGTGCAGATCGCTGGATCATTGGAGAACCCATCTTGTCTGCCGACGTTTGCTGAATCAGAAAGACAAGTCTGTGCAATTGTTACGAGAGAAGCTGTACAAGTCTGAGATAAGTATGTACTCAGGCATCCCACAGTTGCTGGCAGGAGATCCGGGCCCAAGTTGGGAGGACTGCAATGTGCTCAAGGAATGCAGGCAAACTCGAATCCTGCTGGCTAACGAACTAGGGGGCAAGGGCAGGGGGGGGGGAGGCGGTGTCAACGGGGAAGGAATGTGAGGGATAGCAACGACAGGCGAGTCCGTTAGACCGGCAGAAGTGCAGCGGTGGGATTGAGAGGGGGAGAAGAAGAGCACCTCAACTAGAAAAGGGGTCTTTTTGACTTGGAAATCATGGAAACCGCTACACCATTCACCACTGATCAGACAAAATTTGCAGAGCTCAGCATGAAACCCATACCACCCGACTCACAGGTTGCTCACCCTCTGCTTCGTTATCAACCCATAATTAACGCCTCGTCCACAAGATTGACTGATCGACGGATTGATAGAATCATTGGCCAACAAGGCTTGTAAATATTGATTGATCAATCTGCCTGATTGACCCGTTGAATGACATTAAACAGGCATATATCCACGTGTGTTGCATGTCAAATCATCAGGCCGCAGAATGCGTACTCGGAAGAGGCAGATCATGTTGACTTGTTGTTTGGGAAGAGGCTTCTCCAACAGTCGCGTGTTCCATCAATGATGGCACGCACACATGATAATGGCAGCACATCATATCACATTGTGAAAGTTATCGTGCGGCACTTCCTCACTCATCTTAAGGTCCTGCCTTTCCCTGCAGCGAACAAAAAAAGCCAAGCAACGGGATGCACCTCCCCCCTCTCCCCCCCCCCCCCCCCCAACACACACACACATTCACATGCAATGAACGTGTCAGATAACAAGCACGCTCTGATCCATCAGTCCATCTGCCAGGCAAGAAGTTATCAGAATCTTTTCCCTCCACCCTTGGGGGAAGCACCTTATCCGAAAGCTTCGGATAGGCTGAATCAAACTTGCACCTAGTCAGCAGCATACTTACACGTCTCCCACTTAGTTGTTTCACTTCCTTTCAGTATTATGGGACTGCAAAGAGAATTATGTGCTTTCGGACAGAAATGTTCTACATTTATTAGATTAGATAATATAGACAGGTAGATAGATAGACAGACAGATAGACAGATAGACACATCGATGGGGAGACAGATAGACATGAAAGGCATTCCACGATGCGGACCCCAAATTCGAATACCAGGGTCAAAGCCGCAGGCCAAAAGAGGCCTTGTCGGCCTGTTTCAGGAAGGTTACGTCGGGTACCCCAGAGGTCAAAAGTCGAACAGGTACCCGATCAACAGTCACATCCTAGAGGCAAAAGTCACGGCCCATATGCAAGCGTCACGTCTGACAGTCAAAAATTGTGTCCCACAGACAAGATTCACATCTCACAGTCAAAAGTCATATTCCACAAGCAAGGGTCACGACCAACAGGAAGAGGTCAAGTCCCACAGACCCAAAACAGCAGCACACACGCGCACACACACACACACACACACACACACACACACACACACACACACACACACACACTCCCCCGTGCTCGCTTGGTCCTTGAAAGTCCATCTGTGCACAAAACTCCAGGTGTGGAGCTCGGAGACGCACGAGAAAGAGAAGGAAGAGTGTGTGGAGACAGTGGACGGGGAGGAGAACAGAGAGCACGAGCGCCAACAATACTCTCCCCTTCGTGCACCTCTCCGTGCGTCCATGTGCGCTGTTGGACAGTGCTCCTCTATACCGTGCGCTTCCTCTCTCCCTGTGCACTGCTCTCCACGTGCGCTCTCCATGTTGGCCTCTCCACACCCACGCGCGCTTCTCCATGTGTGCCAACCGTGCACTTCCCCACGCCTACCCAAGTGGACTAATTCACCATCTCCCTCTCCTCCTCTTCTACCTGGCTGTCCTGGCCAGGTGCCGGCACTGGGCACGGCAGTCTCTTCCTATCCAACAACCTCCCCGCCTCTCCATCTGGTGGGCCCCCTCCTGCTCGAGTACGGGGGGGTCAGTTATGAAAACTGACCGGCCACATCCACGTGCCCCCTGGCTCCACATGCCGTCCCCCTTTCTTTTGTCTCCCTGTCTCTGAATCTGGCCTTTTCTTTCACCCCAATCCATTCCCTTTTTCTATCTTACTCTCTTCTCTCTATCTCGCCGTTGCCATTCAGCGGCCACATTCGCATCTTATGTTCCCCACAGCCTTGCTCGCATGGCCCGTACTTGGTCTCATTTCCCAACATCGTACATTCCTTTTTCCCTCCCAAGAAGTTGTGCCCTTCAGGCTCCCTGCTGACACGTCTTCGGCCTGATAGACCCTAGTGAGAACAGAAAAAACCTCATAAATTGTCAGTGGCGGTTGGTCAGGAATCTCTCCCAAGGCTCACGAGCCCACAAGTGCACCTTTTGGAAGTGGCCTGCTGCGTTTGCTACCAGTTCATAATAGAATAAAAATAATGGCCTGCAGTGCTTGCTACTGGTCTAGAATGGAACCAAAAGGCTCTGGCTGGCGTACCCATCGGAGCCCTATATCCCTCCGAATGGACCGGCTGTTGCCAATTGAGTCCTGATCCAAGACGCACTCACACGCACATACACACGCAAAACCCCCCTCCCCATTACACACAATCGCATGGACCCACCCAGACACACCTCCCTAGACACACTCGAGCTCTACACGCCCGTGCATCTTCACTCATGCATGCATACCCACGCCACGCTCCGAGTATGATTCTTATGCATACCTACACGCGACCCATGTGCACACATACTACACAAGCTGTCCCGCACACATGCACCATTGGTCCCCCTCATCGCAGTGGCCGTGCCTCCACCTGCCTGCACACAGAGCCGCTACCTTATATCATATCGCCTTCTGCTCACCACTCGTCTCCAATACCGTGTCTGCTGCGGGCAGCGTGGCATGTCCTTGACGACCATCCTGAAAGCTCAAGTCAGAGTAACCAGCATCCAATAACCGTGGCTGATCCCTGTGGTAGAACTAGTGGTCGCTCACGTTCCCTGATGAACCCTCCGAACTTCATCTTCCGACCCTCATCCTCGTGCATCTTCACCCACCATCGACGATTTACCCCAAAACCGAATGCACTAGAACTCCGCCTCTCCCAGGACCCCTTTTTCACCATCTCCACGTCTCCCCACCCTTCCCCCGATCGTTTTCCTTTTTCTCGTGATCCCAAATAAACCCCAAAACCCTCGAAGCACATGCAGGCAAACTGTGAGACAAACAAAAACAACCAGTAGCACAAGCAAAAACAAAACTATGCATTCGAAAAAAAGGTACGGCCGGTAGGCAGCCACCTGACAGCCAGCCCACACCCCAATGCTCGACATCCCCGGTGAGCCTTCCATACAACTGGAATCGGGGATATGATAAGAGTATAGGAGTATTGTACAAGGGTAGGGCCCTCAATTTGCAGACCCCGCTATTTGAGACCGACAGCCATTAATCGGACTTCAAAATCGACGGTAAGGTATGAGCACGAGCAATCGTTTTCTTCGGCTTCACCTTTTTGGCATACCCTTTTCTAACTATGGTACACTGGTTAAGCCTTCCTTCTCTTTCTCTCTCACTCTTTTCTAACTTTGTCTTACTCATATGGCCTTCTTTAACTACGGGATACGACCATTGGTTTCCTTCTCTCTCCCTCTCCCTATTCTTTGCCTTTTTCTTTCAAAAATATCCATCTTTAACTATGTTACATGGCCTACTCTCTCTCCCCTTTTTGTTTTACATTTTCTTTCTAAAATACCCTTCTCTAACTATGGTACACAGTCTACCCTTTTTTTCTCTTTCTCACCATCTCTTTTCTTTGACTTCTTCTTTTCGAAATACCCTTCTCTAACTATGGTACACGATCTACCCCTTCTCTCTATTTTCCTTTGTCATTAGGAGTAACCCCTTCTTCCTGCTATGTTTCGCGAGCATCACCCTTCTATTTTGGTTCCTTCCCGCCCGACGACACACTCTCTTGTTTCCACTTACGGTTCCCTCTCGGTCTGGGCTCTCTCTCTTGGTCTCCTTCTCCTCTTGTCCTCTTTCTTCCACTTAGCTTTTGAGTCCATCTTCGCTGCATCTCGTCTCTTACGGTTCCCTCTCGATCTGGCCTGTCTCTCTCTCAATCACCTTCTCCTCTTGTCCTTTTTCTCCCACTTAGCCTTCGAGTCCAGCTTCACTGCAGCTCGTCTCTCTCTCAACGTTTGGTGTTGGTCTCATT